AAAATATGTGTTTTAGTAAATCAGTGCGTGTCTTTCCATGTATAACTTTATATACTGTCTCACTGTGTCTTGCTCTGACTCATAGCTGAAGGCTAATTAATTATTCTCTGTGTGAAAGATGTTTTGGCTCAGAGTGATTGCTGCTCCTCTGTGGCACTCCTGTTCTCTCACCTCAAGCCAAATGAGATGTGGTGGGGAGGAATAAAGGGTCAAAGCCTTCCATTTCTCTCCCCTCCCCACTACAATTCCTTTTCCATTCCCCAATCCCCAGCCGCCCAGACAATCCAGGGCTGGGCCGCAAGGTTCAAAACATCCCTAAGGACAATTTTCTCTTACAACCATCACCCCAGTCTGCTACAGGAATATAGTCAATGTCAATATGATTTAGTGAATATTTCATTTTCTCTTTCCCAAGTTTGGCTTGTTTCTCACATCTCTTTTCAAGCTGCGTAAATCCTTTCTTTCTCTGTATCTGTTGATGCAGAGTAGACTACTTTTTGTCAACATAATTCTGCTGTATAGGACTGTGTATTTGTTACTTTTTCTCTCATCATTCCGGTTTGATGTCCCTGAGACAGAGGCAAATCAAAGAGTAGGCTGAGGATGCTGTGTTCTAGTTTGCAGTTGTTAGTCATGTCAGATGCTCAGTAAACAGTCAGAGCTGCCTGCAGTGGTGATAGCAGTTTGTTAGGGCTAAGGCAACACTAGCTGCCCATGTAAATCATTTTCACAACACTTCAATGGCTGCTTACTTTGAGGGGGGTTGCATTTGTCGTTTTCTGTGGTTGTTTGGTAAAACAAGTTGAATTTATGTAACAACATCAAGTTTAGGTCCACTCAACAAAAGACAAACTTGACAGTTTTATATGATTCATATGCCATGTTTTCTTTAAAGAGCCTGTGACACGAGTTTCCCCCATCATCCAAACCCATCAATTTGAGTAAATATTGTCCCCTTGAAAACCGTTACTGAACTGATTTTGGATATTTGTACTTTGATAACCATTAATCTGCCCTTCAATGTTGACCATTTTCTGGATCTTCTCGGGGATTCTTCAAGTTCCGCCAAATTATGTGTGACGTCATTGCGGGCACAGCGCTCCAGCTGCACCGTTCAGGATCCCAGAATCTGCATGTAAACGCACGATGGTGCACACAGCAGCAAGCTCAGACAGCGATGACAGTTTAATTTTGAACGTGTCTGGGATCGCTTTATGTTGTATCTTTTAGGAATTAGGTGCGTCAAATATGGGCGATCATACGGTCATGTAGCCAGTGGTGGACTGGGAATAAAAATCATCCCGGGACTCTCGACCGGCCCACTTCGGTACCGCTAGTAAATTGTCAACGGGGGGGAGTGGGGGATGTCAGGGGCAGCGGGTGCTGTAGATAGTAAATGTAAATATGTAAATATTTGTGTCACTGCATCCTGGTAAAATACAAATATAATGCAATGTCTGTGTCTTTGACAATAGCGCTGCTAGCCACCTGTGCCCTGTACTACGAAGCCAGTTCAACATACCCTGGATATGTTTGAGTAACTAACAACAACAAACTAACAAACAAGATCTCGCTAAGCGGTCCTATGACGCTGGTTATCAACTCGGTAAATCAAGCCAGGGCAACATAATGTGTTGCTTAAAATAATACTTCTGCATACAGTATGTGACACTGTAAGTGTTGCACGGCCAGATACGGCTGGAGAAGCTGACTCAGATAAGGAAATATATGATATATTATTATATTATATGATCGATGATCTGATTGATGATGTAATATGAATGATAAGTGCGACACGTCGGCGTCTTCTCTGCATACGGCAGTTTAAACTGTATTTCCTTTATCCTGTAATATGACTTGAGAGATTTAAACTCCGCACACTGAGTTGATCTCTTTTCTAGAGACGCCGGAGGCGTAAAAAAAGTTATTTAGCCTTCCCAAACCTGAGCCTCACGCGCCGCCTATGGGGAATGTGCTAGTGACTTATCCGACCGGCCCACTTCGGTACCAGCCCATCGGGATTCGTCCCGATGGCCAGTCCGCCACTGCACCCAGCCCACGTAAACTGTCAACGGGGGGAGCCTCGCTGCGGGGAAACGGTGGAGCTAGTGTCCCGATCGGAGTGGGAATAATAATAATCCGTGCATTTTATCCATTAATTTCCCCAACATTGTGGTGAAAAAAACACACGTTTAATCCATGTTGGTGTACTATAACTACAAAAAGCATCGGTTTGTTTTCTCATCAGGAAATGCAGACCGGCACAAACAAACGATTTTTAATCATCATTCAATCTATCATATGTTCGCCGAATTGACATGAAAGCACTAATAAATGTAGTTTCATCCACTTGAGTTTACAACTACAAAAATAATCGATTTGTTTTTATATCACATCCTACGGGAGGAAATTCAGTATTCACTACCGATTTTTAATCCTAATGTAATCATCATCTTCACCACGATCATTTATGTTTATGTTCGCCGAATTGACATGAAAGCACTGACAAATATGAATATACTGTAGTCAACTTCATTAAAACGTTATTAACGTGCCTAAACTCAGTAATTCACAATTTCTACGCATGACAACCATAGACTGTATATATAAATGGACGTAGGGTCCGTGACGTCACCCATAGGATTCTGCAGAGTTGCCGTGAAGCCCTTAGTAGGCGGAGTCGGCCACTAACGGCTCAAAGGTGTCGTCAGAGTCTAACTCCCGCCTTCTCCAAATAAGGGCAAAGAGGCGGAGCTGAGGCGGAGCCGAGGCGGGACAGGGCGGGACCTGCTGCCAACGAGCGTGACGTTCGAGTCCTAGCTCAGGCTAAGAAGCTAAGCTAACATGCTCTCAGTATCAATCGAATGTAAAACATGATTGATGAAAGTAGTAAATCGGTCAGATTTGACCCGAAGACAACAGGAGGGTTAATGCCATATTCACTTAGTAACGCATGAACAACTTTTACAAATATTTCTATATAGTCTGTGTTGGTAAATGTCATCTAGGTTGCACATTTCCTGCTGAAATACATGCATACCAAGTCACTGCGTGGCACTTTGGTTTTGATAAAACAGTGTAGTTCCACTATATAAACGTTACATTCATAATCAAACGAGACAATCTGCAAGATAATTAGCTATTTGTCATTCACACGTTAATAAAATAAAATAAGTACCGATACATAGCAGAATAATTGTGGCGGTATTCAGCTTAATAAGCCTTGCTCAACATCATTTATTTAGCTAATACTACAGCGGGCTGCAGGCGAACCAAGTCCGCGTTACGATGCATTCCTTGATCTCCAGTTATAACGCCGGACTCCGCCGCTGGCCGAAGCTAACGGAGCCCCAGGGTGCTAGCTACGGCCGCCGGGACGCGCTAGCGAGCTAGCACCCTGCAGCCCCGTTAGCTTCGGCGGCGTGGACTCCGGCGGCCCACCCCTTTTAACATTTGCTCCCGTTTAGCATTATGGGCGTCATAGCCATATAGTATAAAAGTCTTACCCAAGGCTGAATCATAAACTAAACTGTATATATATGTATAAAGGGTTACGTCCTTAGCTGGCTAATAAGCTACATAACAGGCTAAGCTAACAAGCACACAAACACCTGCTAACGGGGTTAACATGTATAATATTATCATTTTACTCACCGAAAAAAGCTGAAAGTAGACTTCTTGGAAGATCTGTTAGTACATTCAAGCGCACAGCACGACATTTTAATTATCTGGTATTTGTAACAATATTCCCTAACAGGCACGATCACCACGAACACAGCTAAAGGATCAAGTACAGTAACTACAACTAACTAACGTTGTAGCCTCTATGGTTGTAGCCTAGCAGATTGGACAAGTTGCTGTTAGCTGACAGTGAGGCACGTATCTGTCAATCAAAGTGACCACGCCCTAATGTATGCACAAACTTTAAGACCTAATATAAATATAAAGGGTCGCGTTAGAAAACAATTCACTCACAGATTCATGAACGTGGAATCTAACTATATCGATAATAAAATGTATGGAGCCAGGGGTAGAAACATGTTTTTTTCTGCTGTAAAATCGGGCATTTTAACATGGGGGTCTATGGAAATTGCTCCTTTCTGCAGCCATCGCCTATCGGCCAATATATGAACTGCAGTGTGTGGCACTTCCGTATTGGCTTCCCGGCTCTACCCCACAGTTTGCCGCTTGATGACAACATACTTTGTCCGTGTTTGGCTCTCTCGCCGCACAGTGAAGCGTTCCCGCATTGACGTCACTTCCGGCTTCCCCCAAAACTTCAAAATGAGTCGAAGGAATTTCCCCGCGATGTTCGAAATTATTGATATTTAACGGAACGGTATCGCTTTTTCTTTTTTAAACTGACGGTTCGAGATTACTAGTAGCCCAATATTTCATTGCACAACAGTTGTTGGGATGCTGTCACAGGCTCTTTAAGTCAGGCGGCATTATGTATGTGTTTAAGGAGATTCATATGTAAATAAAGGCATGACCATAATCTCACTGAGAATCAAGCTCATGTGTGTAACACTTTTAAGAACTCAAATGTCCAATGTTCTGTCTTGTGGCGTTGGAAAACAATAGTCAACAAAAGGAATTAATTAACAATCAAATAAGGTTTGGCATTTGGCCACCATTTTCACAATTCATTTTTATCTTTAAGTATTTTGCAATGTTATTTGTTTGAATCCATGCTCTGCGGCTGAGCAGTGTTCACAGGCTTAATAGGTGACTGCAACCTTATGGAGCAAACTTAATGAAACCATATGGTGTTACATTTTGAATGCAGAGGAGGGTGAAACACAAACAGGTTAGAGAACACACAAAAGACATATACACAATCTGTTCCACTGCATGACAAAATGTGCTTTTATAATGTGAGTTGGGAATTCCATCAGGGTGTGAAGGTTAAAAACAACATTTATGTCCATGTCATTTAGAGCTTCAAGTAATGTTAATTTGTTAATTTGTTTTAATGTTTTTTTCTTTTATGTTTCTAGGTACAAGAATATTATCCAACTGTGGGCTGGCTGTCCTCCTCCTGGCATGTGGTCTGGTGAGGGATGCCTTGTTATAATTTGAAGAACTGAAATGGTTTGCACCCTGATCTCGTACCTTCCTTCCCCCATACTCACATATACAAACGCAAACACACATACACACACAACATGCGGACAGCAAAGTTGGCCCTCATTACCCCTCCACTACTGCTCTTGCACCCAGCACATTGTTATTAGCCACTGTAAACACCAGTCACCTTTAAGCCAGTTGGATTACCTTTTGTACAGATGTCGCCATGGCACCAACGCTCCGGTGTGAAAACGGACTCTGTATCTTGTTGGATAACTCTCATGGAAGACTGACTTTCTTATGGTTTCGCTATTCCAGTCAAATGTGTTCATTGCTCAAAAGTGAACAAGAAAAAAGGTGAATCTATATTTGTGTAATAGATATGATTCTAGATATATATATATATCTGTTTTATTTTAAAATCCTATCAAATACTGTATGTGCTGTATACATAGCTGAAACTCACCATATTGGCCATGGAACTTCATTGTGAATAGGCACTATGGCCCTCTCAAATAATCAAAATAAATTAAAGTACATGCTAATTTAGACTGTTGTTAACATTAACCATACGGTTAAAAAGGTTAATTATTTTACAGCTGTATTGGCCATCTAAATGTTCTAAGCATCATGTTACATCTTGTTAGTGATACATATACCGCTGTGCATGCTTTTTGGACTGAAGGCAAGAGGGAAACACAATTAAATTGAGCAACACTAGTCATCACTTGGAGTTCCGTATGTCAAATTTAGCTTTTATTGTTTGTGCTAGCTTTGGTGTAAAATAAAAAAATGTCCCTTGTTATTTTAATTTGTATTGCATCCTTAGTAGGAATAAAATGAGTGTCACAATTTATGAGTCATTGAAAATCGCGAAACCGATGATTAATTTTAATTGAACTGTACCATTTTATAAAGGCATGCTTCAGTTGCTTTAGCGCCTCCCTGGTATGTCTCATTATTATAAAGGATAAATAAGTATTTAGCCAATTTTGATCATAGATATCGCAAGTTTCTATTATTTTAATACCAACACACAAACACACATTTGCAGGTAGATGTCTGAGCAGCTGGAGGACATAAGATGCAGTGCAACACAAGTAAACTCGCTCATCATCAACATTGTATATGACCCAATTTTGGGACGAATAATTTAGTTTTGTTGAAACTATCTATCTTGTATCTTACAGTAATATATGTTTACCTTTATTTTCAGATGATATGTCATAAAGATTTTTATTCACGCGAAGCATTTATAAGCAAAACGCTTTGACAATCTGACACAAACATCGACAACGATGTTTTTTGGTTTTATATTGGAACAACAGATACAACAGTATAACCTCTAAAATAAATGGGATTCTTTTGTTGTTGTTAACTTTTGAGCAGAAAGGGAAATTGTGCGCCATCCATCAGAAATGCAGGTGTTCCAATTTGAACTGAAATATTTATGAATAATAGAGTAGTTTACTTATGTCTCAATAATCATACTGTAAGTGAATGTTATCCACCATAAGTATCATTTGGTAAGACCCAGAATAACATGCTATTTGCTTTGCTTAATTGATGCCCAAAATTGAACTTAAGGTAACATGAAGCATGATTATGTAGTTTTTCATGTGTTGTATAATATAATCTAACATTCATACATGACATAAAAATGTAATTGCCAACGTTTACTGTGCTGTGTGTTTTCAAAAAGCAACATTTTCACCTCCCTTTAAGCTTTTGTTCCGCTTTGCAGACAAAGCGAACATCCCCCCTGTATAGTCAACCCAGTCTCACGGCATTTCGTGTTCACCAACACGATTTTTAATCTATTGATTTTCCCCTTTTTTTCGTGTTGCACAGCACGATTTTAAAAGCAATGTATTTCTACTGCCTGCAGCACGTATTTTTCTCCGGTCGGGTCGTGGGAGACGGGAAGCTGTGTGGTTCATAAAAACATGTTCTTACTCAATATCAAGCCAAAATTATTGCTTTTATTTTAAATCGTATAATTTCGGACTTTTGTTGCCGTCTGTGAGGAAAATAAATGGGGCTCAGAGCCTCAGAATACGGAAATCTGTATTTTTAAAAAAAATGTTCCTTCTAATTCGTTATTCTTTTCAAAATAACACACTGTTATTTACTCACCAATAACACACAATTATCCTTGCTTTTATTTATTGGTTTAATTCCATAATCTCGGGCTTTTTTGGCGTCCGTCAGGAACTGAATTTCAAAATAAAAATAACCGGAAACAGACGTAGGCCTATAAGGGACATTTCGAGCATCATTGCGATTGTCAACATTTCTGAGTTTAGGATGACCGAAGACACTACACTACCCATAATCCCCAGCTATCGTTTAGGACTACAGTCCCCGTAAGGTTACGCAGAGCGTCAAACAGCTGTGTGAAATGGAACGAACCACGCCAGACTATCCAAAACTGGAATCGAACGCCCCCCTAGAACTACACATGCTGGCTATTGTGTTTCGCAAAATGTTCTATGGGACGTCTCTACTGAACGTTTTCGTTTTTCCCACAATTAGAAGTTGTCAGTATTAAACACATTGGTGTTATCAAATGTAAAACATATAATTAATAAATGGGTGAAAATCGCTTGTGTCCATAATGCGCAGCATTAATACCCACATGACAGCTCATTGTTACTTTGTAATTCTACTCCACTACAATTCAGAGGTTAACCTGGTATTTTTACTCCACTGCATTTATTTGAGTTACTTTGCAGATTCTGATTAATTATGTGAAATATAAACAACCCTTAAATCAGACTTTAGTTACACCGGAGTAAAATTCAGGTAAGGTGATTGTCAAGTGCCAACAATCAGGAGAGATATTTGATAGTTGGTGCTTGAGAAGACTAAACATGTATCTGCAATTGGCATGAATGGAAACGAGTAATAAAGTATATTCATTACTCGTTATTCTCTACTAATAGTTAATTAAAGACTGTATATTATGGTTATTTTGCACATCCCTTTCAAGTTTTTCAAAGGTTTATTGACATATCATATACACAACTACGGTGTAGTTATGCAATGAATGAAACACTTGGGTCACAGGTTCCTCAACAGTGCATTACAAGACATCTATCAATATGTGTGTACCTCCACCATTAAAACTGTCATATTCTGCACATTTCTTATTCTATCTACATAAGAGTATAATTAATGTGTATAATATCAGTTAAAATAAGTGCTTCAACATAGTTAACATAGCAGGAAAGCAATATATTAGACGTTAAGTACTTTGTCAGGCTAAATATTTATCTGTAGATAGATACCCCCAAAGTGTTTTCTTATTTAAAAGAAGACCTTAATCTGTTATTTAATGTTTAAATAAAGGTTAATTCGTTGTTCTGTTTTGCACCTCCTCCTATTAATATCTTTGTACATTCTGCACTAAACTGTTTTATTGTAGAGATCACTTATAGTATCTTCTTGATTTTTTATATTCTATATTTATACTTTTCCCCCTATGAAAGTATGTACTCTTAATATTTTTTTAATCAAATAAAACACAATAATTCAATAACGTGCTTTAACCACTAGGTGCACACAAGGTACACACAGCCATAATAACTTTGTATTATTAGTGTAGGACACTTGTGTTTTCGTACAACATCTGAAGATGTGTAGTTTTATGCATGCTTTCACATAATTTTACAGCATATTGCTATACTATTTCAGACTCAGTATTTACATTCTTACATTCAAAGAAAATCAGTAATATCTTTAAAAACTACAGTCCTTTTATATCAGCTGTGCACCGTTATGGTGTAAATATAACCTATCTGTGAATTAGATCAAATGTAAAAGTCAGCCGAATTAGTGTTGATACTGCAAGGAGATGTATTGTGTGAAGAGAAATTGAAGATGTTGTTTAATTGTTGAATATATTTATGATCCATGTCAAATATTCAGTTTCGGCGGCATTTTCTCAGTTTTTCCAAAGGTCTTCTCATCAGGGCAGATCTGTAATATACAATGCAGCCGAACCGTGTATTACAATGCCGTTATGTGATGACTTTCAAAGAGAAAAGCAAGAGCGCTCGGAATTAAGTATTATTTTATTCTTTTAAAATGTTTTCCGGATTTCATATCATATAAACACCAAATCCCAGCATGCATTGCGGCTAAAACATCCAATAAACGAGCTTAAAACCATAGCTGAGGATCTTGGGTAATCGCTCGAAATGCCTACGTCTGTTTCCGGTTATTTTTATTTTGAAATTCAGTTCCTGACGGACGCCAAAAAAGCCCGAGATTATGGAATTAAACCAATAAATAAAAGCAAGGATAATTGTGTGTTATTGGTGAGTAAATAACAGTGTGTTATTTTGAAAAGAATAACAAATTAGAAGGAAACAAATATTTAAAAAATACAGATTTCAGTATCCTGAGGCTCTGAGCCGCATTTATTTTCCTCACAGACGGCAACAAAAGTCCGAAATTATACGATTTCAAATAAAAGCAATAACTGTGTCTTGATATTGAGTAAGAACATGTTTTTATGAACCACACAGCTTCCGGTCTTCCTCGACCCGACCGGAGAAAAATACGTGCTGCAGGCAGTAGAAATACATTGCTTTTAAAATCGTGCTGTGCAACACGAAAAAAAGGGGCAAATCGTGTTGGTGAACACGAAATGCCGTGAGACTGGGTTGGTATAGTTGTACTGCATTCCTAAAAAACTGTGGAGGGAAACTTGTTGATTCAGCATGGTTCAAAGGCTGGCAGTGCTTGTCATGGGAGCAGACCAGAGACATCAGCAGCTTCCAGCCTGAGTATAAGATGTGCTAGTGATTGAGGGCAACCCTGTCTAATCCCTCAAGTTCCAAATAGCTTCAGGGTATAGTTGGACAGTTAATCTACCATCACTGTCATATCCCACTCTGCTGTGACTGGAAATCGATTGTTGTGTTTTGAAATGAGAACATGTTATGTAATATGATTCATAAAGTTTAGACTGCAGAAAAAAATAAAGCTTATTTTAGTGTAGAATGGGATTTTAATGTTGATTCTATTGGAAATGGAATTGGAAAAGCACTTTGGAGAGTTGGCAGAGTTTGAGCGGACGGTTTGTCCAACCCTCATGTAAAAAGCAACAGATCTGTACAACTTGTAAATGAAATAATCAGCATGTTGAAATTTTTTAATCCATTTAAAAAGGCAGAGGCCAGTGATGTTCTGTACTTGTAAAAATGGTGTCATGTACTCATACTCAAGTGCTAACAAGTCCAAAGTGGGTTTTCATCTCTTCAAAATGAACTTGGATAAAATGTATATGACAAAAAAAAAATCTATATATATTAGAAACATCTCCTTTTAAAGCTTTCATCCTAATCTAGGGGACTCATTGACTAAGGGTCCTTGCAACATATCAAATAATAAAGAAGGACATATTGGAGCGATTATTGATTTGATATTGTGATTGAACTGATGACAAATGGGTCATGAGTGTGGGATGTAATGGAGGCTGGATTGCATACAAGCAACAAGGTCTCTGTTAACAAATAGGGAGAACAGTTCACAATGACGGCAGTTCCTTCATCTGGGCTGTTATTTCAGAAACACAGCTTTTCTCCTTTTATGTTTTATATGCCACGCTACTCATTCACTCTAGATGTATTTGTTTCTTCTGATGTATTTCATTTCAATGTGGTCCTGTCTGTTTGTTGAGCTGTCCAAAATTCTAATGAATTATAGTTCTCTTTTCTTTGGTATTGTGTGAGGCTTCTGTACTGGAACATTGCAACAGTTTGTATTATAATGACGATATCAGAATAATATTTAAAT